CCTATGGGTTAGTTCTGTGATTTTTTTTATTATTTTAGTTACATAGTTGCGTGTTCTTGATTCTTGAACATGGAAACCGTTTGTGCTATTACTAATCATAGTTTGTCATCTCGATTTTTAAAAATGCCCAAATTCGTGATTTTTTGTGACTTGTGGATTATTTCTATTTTCGAAGTTCTGTGATTTTAATTACTTAGCTACGTGTTCTTGATTCTTGAACATGAAAACGGTCTAAGTTGCCTCTGGAATTATATGACTGTGATTTTAGTTTATTGTGATTTTACTTTGATTTTGTTGGTATTTAAATTTATAGCAGATATATTTAGTTTATTTTAGATTTATTTTCAGTAAGATATAAATATATATTGAATTAATGGAATAAAAGTAAACACTAGACATGCGAAAAAATATACTCGAAACCAGCGGTTTAAAACCAGACCAAACCGTTAGGTTTAGGTTAGAGTTTTTTTCAAACCGGTCAAAACGGTTTGGTTTAGGTTTGAGTTTTTCTCAAACCAGTTGAAACGGTTTAGTTTGAAAATTTGTTAAAAATTGGTAAAATCAGACCGCTTACACCCCTAATTAGCATGGATGGGAATCGAAGTGGAAACCATCTCCATCTGCTATTTATATCTTCCCAAGAATAATTCTCTCTAGAAAATAGTATTCTTGGAAAGAGAGAATATTACCAAGTAAACGCCGTATTTGCAGAGGTCTGGTCTCGAGAGAACTTGAACTTGAAATTCTCTTCATTCATTTTGACTCTTAAATTGCAGGGAACCAAGTGAATTGCCAATAATCTCTTATGAAAATCAAGATTATATTGCAGGAGTTTTCATACTTTGAATATTCTTGATCAATGAATTAATTATCAGTGTGATTTAAACAAAACAACCCATATTATTAAATCATGGGTGAGAAAAATTGTACAAAGCATAGAAGCTCACAGAAATCATGGTACACGATAGCGTTGCCTTAATTATGTCCATTCTTATCTCAAAGACAACAAATTTAAAGACACCAAGAAAATGACAATCGGAATCACAAGTTTGCTTGTCCACTAGAACATAAGAAAGAAACAAATCCGAGCTCAAAAGCACGCATCTAAAGTAAGGACTAGACGGGTGTGTCTCTATCTCGAGGACTATTTGAGCATCTATCAAATGATAGTCATACAAAGGATTACAAGATGAACATTGGCCTATTCATGCACTTTAGCGCGCTTTGAGGATGGTGATGTACCATCAATATTTGCCTCAGAATTTCCAAAAACTTGAGTCTCCAGTGCTTTAAATTTCTCTTCTATAGCTTTAGAATTTTCTCCAGATGCTATGGATAAGTTAGATTGGTCACCTCCTGTTTTGCTGATACCTGCCTGTAATCCCGAATCATCTTTGCCAGGAGAACTTTGTGCAGCACCCGTCAACTCTGTGATGGAGTTCTCTATAGTTGATGAAGTCCCCTTGAGTAAGTCAGCACCGGACTTGCATTGTTTCTCAAACATCATCTGGAGGTATCTCCCTTGTTCTTCTATTCGAAGCTGCAGATTTCTTTGAATCTGCAGAACGGAATATGATAAGCTGCAGATTGGACACTCATAACTCATCAAAGAACAGTTACCGTTTTGCTAAGATAGTTTCATTTAATGACTCCATGAAAGGGGAGATATGATCCCAATGTCAATAGTCGTAATGTTGAAGATTGATAGAAGAGACACAGGGCTACAGCTTCATATATTTGTACATGTTCACAATTTCTACAATTGCAGGATGAAGGGCAACAAAGCAAGTGTAATATCCGTAGTTTGTGCCACACGTCAATGTATGAATATTAGAAATCATGCTTCATGTCACCACACATGTAAAGGCGTATATAATTGGAATATGTTTGAAACTTCTCATATAATGCCTCTCACCCAAAAAAATAGCATTTGATGATGACTGTTCAAATTGGAAAATATTCTATTATCAGTTCATACCTCAAGCTGTTCGTGCAGACGCTTTTGCACTTCCATTTGCAACCGCAATGCCTCTGTGATCTCGATTCCCCTATTTTCCAGTTATAGAAGTGTATAATCAGCATAAATACGTATGGGACACAACAAATAGACGGGGAAGCAACTCAATTAATTAGTTATAACAAGTCGAGCACCAACTTTTCGAAACATTCCACATTTGTCCCCCATTCCGGTTCAAACTAAAATCAGAGCAGGAATATTTCCTAGTTCCAGGTTGTCCACGAGTCACAATGAACCAACCTCCAGCAACGAACATCATATTAATATCATGTAATTTAAGAAAGACAGGCACCACTAGTTTGATGAGAAACTACATTAAAATGACCAAACATGTTGTAATCATAACCATCTTCCATACTTCAACCTCTCCTTTCAAAGTTGTAGTTTCATTTATTCTACTGGCATGAGAAAATGAATATGTGGAGGCTTTCCTAGTCTAAAGTTCTTCAGAAATCAAAACCCAAAATAATGTTTCTTTAAATTTCAATTTCTAATCAGGATCCAAATAAAAACACTTCTGCTACTTAGGTTGAGAAGATAATCATTATCCACAAGTCCTCACCATTTCAGAAACCATTTATCCGAGCTATTCACAAATTCAACTTGGTACAAAATACAGATGTCGGGGTTCTAACATTTCTATCACTCGAGAAACTGTGTGTAGCAAGAAAAACATACAATACAATAGAGGAAAAAAGCCATAGGTCTGTCCTCGAAATTAAAGAAGCTGATTAGAGAAAAGTAGGATGAACATCCTTCATCAAGGAGTGAAAATCTCCAGGCAAACCCAGAAAATCAGAAGAATGACTGCAATATAAGGAAGATAACTATAGTTTAAACTTCAAATTTAGAGAACATCGAAAGAATAAAAAAAATTTCCTTTTTCCTTTTGTTTTGGGTTGAGAGGGATGAGGGAGAGGGTTGTCGTATGAGTATCCAAAGCCAATTAGAAGCTCCACCAATTGTCATATTTGTGATCATTATGTTCAACTCGAGCAGCCATATTTCCTTCACTCTCCAATACTTAGCATCTTGTTAACAAATAATTATCAGTGCCAAAACCCTTATGTATAAACAGAATAATGAAAAAACTAATAGTCTATTCTCTCTACTTAATTACAAGTAGATGCATATTATTCACATTTAAGAAGTATAGACAACTGTTATTTTTGCACTTTAAAAAAATACCTACACAGTATGTTATGCTCATATTTAAGTAAAAATAAATAAATAAAAAATCCTAAATTGTGTAATAATGTTTGCAAGTGGTCGTTCAAACTTACGTTTTCAAGTCCAAGGATGACAATTCTTCTACAGAAGGTAGTTTTTTCTCTGAAGATTCTGCAAAAGGAGAAAGGGGTTTCTATCAAAGTAATGACCAAGCATATCCAAAAAGCCATGAATATTAACCGCACATGATTCTGAAGTAAGAATAAAACACTAGAGTTCATGATTATGATGTAAAACCACGGCTACCCATATAAATTCGCCGATTGGTACATACCTCTTGTCCAGTAATATATTACCTGATCAGGTGCAAGAAATCATAGTCTAAAAAGGGTCTGATCTAAAACTGATGTTTGGCTTCAGATATGATGCAGATAGTATAAAGAAACAACTTTGTTTCTCTGACACAATTTGAGCAGCTCTACAAGACAGGTATCAACAGAAAACTCGAGTAATAGCAAGTGATTGAAAAAATTATCGACAAAATTTCGCTATGTACTCTAGGTTGGTAGTAAGTACAGTAGGTAATTTTACCAGAGGTTTTTTGCTTGTATAAAAGACAGCTTGTTCGGGCTATAGGGTCTATGAGTCAACATGGATTGTCCCACACTAGAACTTCCGAGCAATAATTCTAGCAAAGACTATCCTATATCAGGGGCGGAGGTGCCCCCCCAATTTTTTGACAATAAATTTTTTTTTAATTTTTTGGGCTCAATTTTATTTTTTTTTCAAGTTATCTCCTAACTAATCCAGAATTTGTAGGATTACAATGCGTTTGTGAACTTGTTCAAAGTTGGTTGTGACAAAAAAAATGAAGTATACCCGTTATTATACAAGCTTTTGACATTGGTATTAATTTCTCAAAGTATGAGAACTGGAAATGAACACTTGTAATAAGGTATGATTTTGCTAAATTAAAGATTAGTACTTTCTTTTATACGTTTCTTGATTTTTTTGTTAAGTCTTCGTACATTAATTTATATTCCGTTGTTTTCTTTCTCTATTACAAAGTACCAACTTTCTTCATTTTAACACATAATGTTTCAAAAAAAAATTTCGGGGGCAGCCCCCGTGGGCCCCCACCCCTTCAACTCCGGGACCCCCCAGTTCATCGGGCTAGCTCCGCCCCTTATCCTATTTAGTATTTAAATGACCATAGTTCTTTCTGTTACTTCTTGGCAAAGCTATCTTGTTATTGTCATGCTAGTTTAAGGACATATAAATAGTCATGTGAAGTTGTACCATCAAACTTAGATAACAACAAATTGAGAAACTTTCCCTCCATAATCGTAGAGTTTTCTTGCTGTTTTTATCACCTCCAACAAACAAGAATAGCATGCCAGCCTTATTGTTTACCATTTAACATATTTAAGGCTCAGACTTCAGAGTAGAGTTCAACCTGTTGAGTGCAGAAGTATAGGCTTTGTCATGACAAAAGCTTTATATTGTTTAATTAACAAGGGTCCGTTCTGTTTTGGCCAGAAAATCAAAAGCATAGTTGAGATTCTTTACATGCAAAAATAAATCCAATTTGAATTATGATACGCCAACTACATGAAAGGAAAGAGAAAAACAACCAAACTAACTGAAAAGGCATTTGCTGCAGTTACAGAGAGTAAATAGGCAAAATTGAAGAATTAAGTACACAGGAAAATTTATGACTTTTTAAAAGTTTCAACTTCAAAATCAAGTCAATCATTACAAAATATTAGATTGATTAATTTGAAAACCCAAGAAACGAAGAAATTCATACAAACTAGAGACTACTTTAACTTATACACCAGCCATCTCCAGCATTTATCTTAAATTAGGACAAAGAACCAAAGAAGTGATGTAAATGTTTACTAAAATTTGAGTAAAACTATAGCAAAAGGTGAAGCAGAAGTTGTTGCACACCTTCTGTTGTCTCTGGCTTGTATCTAGCTGTTCTGTACTTCTGAAGTTCAGGAAACAGATTCCATAAATAAATAGATGGCAGCCAGAGTCATCATTACAGGTTAAAATTGTTATGACGAAAGAAAGAAACAAACCTGCAGGTGGCTTTTCACATGATAAATTGTCAAACTTTCAGCTTTCATTAGCTTCAGAACACCCTTGGGAGTAGCTCCTGGGATCATGAAGAATTATTAACGAGAGTAGCTAGCCAATATGTTATGATCAAATGATACTGAAGAAGAAAAGTAAGGAAATTACTTTCACTCCCACCAAGTTTGTTGACTGCTTCAACAAAGGCTTCGTGAAGTTCTGGAGTCCAACGCATGCGCTGTTTTACTGGAGCCACGTTTGCTGAGGATGATTGAGCAACAGCTGTGTTAGTTTCTCCGGGTGTATCTGGAGGCTGTAGGGGTATTTGGGACTGCTGCGATGAAAAATTTACTGGTTGTTTGGACATCAGCTGCTGCATCTATATTACAAGAACAAAGAAAAAGCATACTATCCATTATCCATTATTACCAGTGAAGAGAAACAAAAATGTAAAACCAAGCACACTTCAAAAGTCATGCATAGAGAAAAACTTCAACCTTCGGTTCAACATTTGCATCTGCAAGAAGCTCATTCCAATCTGAGGTCAAAGGATCATTATCAGTAATAAGCTGGTCAGCCCATTCCTGCCAATCATTTCTTTTAATAAGATCCTCGGATGAGATACCAATGTCACCACTGTTAATACTATCTAGTTGACTATTATCGATTGAAGTACTAAACGAATAATCAAGAAAATCAGGCAGTGAATCTGGACACCAAGAAGATCTGTTATTTTCTTTGGTAAATTGGCTTGATGCTGTGGATTGAAGAATTCCAGAATCACAAGAATGAGGTAATATAATTGATGTCCCACTATTTGCCGATTGAGAAATGAAAGGGGCTTGTCGTAGATGCTTTTCTTGCTTTGGGGTGGATGAAAAATGAAGATCACTAGAAAATCCTGAGGATGAAGAAAATATATGACCAACAACCCCACTGTTGGAAGACAAAGGTGAAAGGGCAGCTGGAGGATGTTGCATGAGTTCCCTCTCTGTGGAAACCTGCTGGGAGTCCCGTAACTTTGGATATTTCTCTTCAAAAGGGGTCGGATTAACAGGTAAAGTCCCTGATCCTCCACTGTTACCAAGATGTCTTGCACCTGATTTTAGAATAGATAAAGCTGGGCGTGCTTCCATATTTGCCTTGTGAGTAAATGATAAAAAATTTAACTGAGAGCTAGCTTAATTTCTCTCCTCACTTCGAACACCTACACCATAAGAATACCCATCAAACTCACACCTTGAATAAATTAACTGCCAATGCATTAACAGTCTAGTGAAACAAATGCACAGAAAAAAAAAACACCTTCACTAATATAGTTCGAAAGTTGTAGAAAGAGATCTTTAGATCTGCTCAGACAAGTCAATATTGAAAGATTAAAAACAAATCTGTGATGCCTCGCGAGGCATAACTTGTGAATTAGATTTGATCTTGCAAGGACCGAACAATCTTTGACATACAGGGACTTGACGTCCAATATTTTTATGTAGCCAAGTAAATATAAGGAAACTAAAGTTTGTCATTTCTTCACATGATCCACGATAATAATACATGTCGCTGAGCTTTATGAATGACCATGCCTACAAGTTTAATCTTCTGTTGTCAGGAACCGGAAACAAATGATGTATACTATTCGAAGACTGTGCCCTTATAATGGACTTATGAGAAAACACTTTGGTCATCTTGCCTGGTCCATTTCCACCACAGAGCCATGGTGTTGAAAATCACTCAAACTTCTTAAAGCGGGCAACTTGACAAAACTGACCGTCTAACTCAGTACTTAAAATTTGTTATTCAGAAATGATTTGTGGTGAACTTCTGGGCTGTTTGTCAGGAGCTGACAGCTAATAGTGCTTTTTCAACAAATTAAAGAAACAGTGATAGTTTTCAAAGAGCACAAGCACTAAACTCTTAGAGCTAATTTTGTTTCTCCTAGCTGCATAGTAATCATATGCAGTGCTAAGCTCTTCCTTGCATGAAATCAAACCTCTGGGTCACGATGTAATATGAAGATGGGTTAACAGCATTGGCTTCAGACCACATTTCCACAAATCCCAAATAAGCAGAAGCAAGAAAACTGAATCAAACACTGTCAGCTGAGCTTGAAGAGGTATCAGACCATCTGTAGAGAACTCTGGTTTGTAATAAATAAGACTTCTAAGTTTCCGGAACTTGGTTTTTAGAAAAAAGTGTATGGCTCAGAGTGCCCAATTTTTATGATTCGCATGTTTTTCTCTTTCTCAAAGTTTATGACTTCGTAGACTTCCAAAAAGTCTGTAGCGAATGTGCAAGCATGCCTCTGTGAACTAGGAACCCGATCAGTTACCGATGGTCTCACCCCACTTATAACAAATGGGAACTTCTTAACAAAGTGCTCATAATATATAGATTCAACAAATTAAATTGAGAAAAACCTTGTCAAACAATGTAGGTTGCAGAATGGCGATTTAAGACAAACTTCAAAGAATTATCATACGGTCGTCAGCTTAGAAAATGTTAGAATACAGTACTAGCGTGTTAAAGTTAAATCTTGCATAGGCATGACATACCCACTGGCGCGTCTAATTCACCAGTAGCCTGCAATGATGCTCCCTCAACAGTTGATATTAAACATTTTGCCCTTGCGAATTTCAAAAATAGTAGCTTACTTGATGGCTTAGTGAAGGCCAAATTCAAACTTTATGCCTGATAGGACAAAAATTAATACCCGTGCATTGAGAGATTTCATGATTTTAGCTAACATATAAGAAAACCTCCAAACCTGATCAGCTCTCATTTTTGCAGACAAATCCCAGTCTTATACCGATAAAATCTTGCTCCTATATACTTCAAGCAGAACTAGACAACAAAAATCATACATGGAAACATATTTTGGCAAAAGGGAAAAATAATCAAATTCACGCAAAATTAGAAACAAATTCCCATATGTTAATCCGAGCACGAAATCATTATTTTCAATTTATCAGACGAAACCACTATCACGCACAAATCAAAAGATTAAAGAACCCCATGAAACTAAATCACTAAACTTCAAAAATGAAAACAAAATCGAAGATGAACATTCCAGGGAAAAAAATTTTAAATTGAAAAGACATGAATTATGCAACGAAGATTCTTACCTAAAATGGCAAATCAATCACCAATTGCGAACCGAACAGCTCCATTCGACAATTTATGATATTAAAAATTCTTCAACACACGCAAAGACGACAGTGCATAGATATACACGTATATGTATAGAAGCAAGTGCGTGTTTGCCGGCGGTCCGTCACTGGCGGCGGCGAGTGGGGATTGTAAGGTGACGCGCGCTGCTTTCCCTTGCTGTTGTTTGTTTGGCTTTGGGCAATGATTGAATCACGCGCACTGTGGCGCGTGTTTGGGAAATGGTTCCATTGTGAGTCAAACCTGTCGTGTTCCGGGTTCGCCGAAGAAAGGGTTATAAATTCTGAATTTCGCAAAATATTAAAAATAAATTTCAATGTGAAGACATTATACTAATTATTAATAAAAAATAAAAATATAATCTCAGTTAGGGTCGGACAAAAGTCTAAAATCGAACCAATCGAACTGGACATGAATCTAATTGAGCGATTCTTCTTAAATTAAATATTCTAATGAGTATTTGAATCGAAAATCGACGATGTTTGATTTGGTTACCGAAACTATACTCTAACGAGTATTTGAATCGAAAATCTTCCACATTTTTTAGTGTAAATAAGTCAATTTATTTTATTTTATTCTAAATAAATTTCCTAACTAATTGATTTAGCTCAAACCCAAAATATAATTGTTCTTATTTCTAATTTATAGTACAAGACCAATTTAATCAAATTGACTAAGTTTTACACAAATTTCTTATTTTATCGTACTATCGTTTCTACAATTATAGAGAAATCGAATTAGAAGTTTGGATGCACCTCTCTGCATTATTGTGAGTTCGCTATATTTCTCTTCCTATGATTTTAATAGTCAAATATATGAAGAACTCAATAAAGAAAAGTGAAAAAAAAATCATGATATTGGACTACGTTATTTCGTAAGGGTTAAAATTGAACATATCATTAGTTGAATTAATATAGCGCTGTTGTAAATATTAAAATATTTTAATTATTGTATGAAACTCAGAAATTGAATGAAATCGAATCGAATCGAATTTGAACGGTTCCATAATTAAATCTAGACCCGACGATTCCACTTACTAAATATTTGAAAATTTGGGTTCGATTCGATTCTCTTTAGAATCGAATCGAAACGAAACATGTCCATCCCTAATCTCAGCTATAAAAAAAATGCATATATAGTACTTATAATTAGATAAAATAACGATAAATCTAACTGAAGATTTCATAATTGACTCTTGAATTGAATGCATGCTTGACAAGATTAAGAGTACGTTTGAGTTCCAATTTTTTTTAATGAAAATGTGTGGTTAAAAAATACGAGTTTTTTTTAGAGAAAAATGTATTTTAAAAATAGTGGAGATCAAATCAAGTAAAACTTAAATTTTAGTTTAAAATAGTGAATACATACTTTATAATTCACACATTTCATAATCATAATTTACTATTTATCATCGCAAGATTCGTAATTTATACACACTTAAAAGCACTACAAACAAGCTTTTATACTATTAAATTAAATTGAGCGAACTAGCTTTCAATATTCATAGACGTCTCCGCATTATACACAGACATCATGATCAATTTTGTGCAAATAAAGTGGCACAAAGACTTGTGGAAATCTACATATAACCCAATAATGAAGATTTTGGCAAGACTTGTTTACAATAATCTACATTAAAAAAGTATTAGTAATCTTCTCATAAAAATACCGTATCATGTCATCATGTCAAATAATTATTTATGTAGAATTGGAATATTGACTTATTAGAAAGTGATTTTTTTATTTTTTTGGAAACATCACAAATACTTGAACCAGAAAATGACATAAATGAATTTGGACCGTCAAGGAATGCTTGATTATTTGCGAGTTTGTGTTCAGATCACAAGTCAATTAGAACACGTTGAACATATTCTATTGGAATCGTTACAAGTAAATTTACATTTTTTTTTTCAATTTTATTTATATCATACAATATAGCAGAAAGAAAAATTGAATTTTTTATACGCACATTCTACAATATAATTATGATTTAAAACACTCTCAAAACATCCCCAAAATTTCGTTAGTCTGAAATTTAAAGGTCTGTTCTCTGTACCATTTTCAATACGTTTTCTGTTTTCGATTTTCCAAAATAGTGAAAACACGTTCTCTTTCCTATTTTCGAAAACGCATTTTTGAAAACAAATTAAATATTTACAAAAAAAAAAAAAAAAACTCAAAACGACAAATTTGTCCTTTTTTGGTGTTTTCAGTTATAATCAAGACAAAATTTTCAAAACGCGTATTGGGTGTTTTTAAAACAATTTTTCAAAATGCCAAAAAGAACACATTTTCATCAATCTCAACATGAACACTCTAAACACAAAATCCAAAATGAATTCAAAACTCAAAACTGAAACATAAAAAGAACCGCCCCTAAAGTACGAATGAGTACACAAACAAATGCACTACCTCAATGTGGGACGTACAAGTCCTCTTCCGACATATGGTATCTTTTAGACTGTGTTCATGAGAGGATGTATCTACAATTGAAGTAGATTCCATTTCTTCTGTCTCGCACGAGACTCGGAAATATATGTAATATTGCATGGCTCCAAATTTGGATACAACCGAAACCTTCAATAAGCATGAATAGAACTTGTTCAGGGACCGTCTCCTTCATAAATAACAAGTGGGTTAAATGATTCTCTAATGTGTAACATCACAATCCATGTCCATCCCCCAAAGGCTTGCATCTGACACAAAGGCCATTCACTTCTATCCTTGTTATCATTGAGGGAGATGGTGAAAGGGAGAGGTTGCCTTGAACATTAACATGAACTACCCGACCATCGCCAACCTTAAGGGCTCCGAAAGGGCATCGAGTATTGGCATGATTGTAGAAGGCAACATCCTTGTGATTTCAAGGGGCATAAAACAATGGCATGGACAAATTAATTAGATTTCGAATGGTACTTTTTGAGTTCTACGTTTAGAAAGAACTAAAAATTTGTCCTACATGGAATTGCAAATC